GTGATATGAAAAAATCTCATATTGCCCAGCTCTAAGTTGGATCTATATGATGTGCTTCTGTGTTCCTGATTATGAGAATAAACCCATCAGCTGTGTTTTAGCTGCAGCCTAACAAAGTGTGACGTGTCTTAAGAACTAACAGTCAGTGCAGCTTCTGTTTAAACTGATATGTTGATGGTTTGTGTAAAAAGGAGCTTCGTAACCTTTCTTGTCCTTTCTTGTCATGTTGAAAGAGTAAAAAGTGATTTCCAGCAGTGAAAGAACTCAGCACGAGCACGCCGTCGTCTCATGTGCTCGTCTGTCTTTGAGGTTTGCGTCAGGATTTAAGCGGTTTGTGTTAAGGTGGGAACCTGAGCTCAGACGACAGCTGCATTAGTCACCCATGACAGTGATGCGTTTTCAAACGTGACCTGTGATCAGGTTTGACACGTGTGGTCTGATGAAACGGCGAGCTCCTCCTGGAGGTCAAAGAGCCGCTCTCATATTTACCGCTGGGGAAACGAGGAAGCGAACAAAGATGCATCATCGCTGGTTTATCAGGTGACAGAGTTAATGGCAGCCATTTTCCTCTGAGAGGCCCGTGTGTGCGTCCTTTGGCTCCACAAAGACACGGCGATATGCCCGCGTTCGTTTTATGTTATCGGCTCATTGGTCCAACAATGCTGGAAACAGGCAACGGGACCACAAATATATGGAAATAACACTTACTTTATTATTATAGTAAAAATCGAGTTTTATTGACTGTAGTGGAAATATGTGCTGACAATAAGAAACCACAGCGTGTTCTCCAGTAGCACTATCAGCGCTATCAGTGTATCATGTAGGGCTTGAGTGCTTTCTTTTAAATGTACCGAGCTCACTGCACAATTCCCCTGCTGGCTTTGTGGTTTTTAATGACTGAGGCTGGTGTGGACCACTCAAAGCACATTTATACATCAGCTGAGATAAAGCAGGCTGTATCTTATCTTTGTATGTTTTACTAGTGACCTGGACATTTGGCTGAGCATGCACATTAACACGGTCCTGCTATTGCACAAGGTTCATTTGTACGACATCTTCAAAACCACCTTGGTTGTTTTTGCTACCAAGCAGAGAAAATAAAAAATGTTCCTGTGAGCATGTTAGCAAACTTTCACCAGACTAGGACGCACACGTGGGCGTCATGGAAAGACTGAACCATAATATCGTGTTGAAAATGTTTGCAATTTATATGTATAGAAGCTGAAGTTCATTAACTACTTTCCGACCTGCTACAGCTCAATAAAAATGAACAGGGAGCATGCAGCAGTCCGGCGTTGCTTGGTGTTCGTGTCACAGCTGCTGTGGTGCAGAACTCAGGTGGGGCTGCTGGCTGTTGACGGTCCTGAACTTTAGGCTTAATGCTCAGGAAACAACAACCTTTCAACTCCTTTAAAAATGCAAAAAAAATTGGTGTTAAGAGGCATCAAAGCAAGAGGTGGTTATATAACCCTAACTATA